TGAAGAGCCTTCACTAAACTGGAAACACCACCTGAACAGACTGCAATTAATGCAAAAGAAAAGCAGACTCATGAAATGTAGGTGATCGGCTCATCAGAAGTTTAGGCGAAGGCTGCCTGCTACACGCTGCTTGGATTCTACTCTGATCATCTAACCAAGGCAGCACAAAACCAACCTGAAAATACCGCAGTTCAGGAGCAGTATCTATGATGTAGTGGCAAAAAGTAATTTGCTGCTAACCCATGCAAAGGAAAAAAAAAAAGTTTTACAAGATGCTTCCGTTAGGATAAAATGAACAGAACAGGGATATAAAGTGCCTTGTCTCAGCCCTAGTGAAAAACACTGACGAAAAATCCAACTACATATCATGAAATAGCAAACCTACTAAAGACAGGTTCGTAATAACCATTTTATATTTTAATTACAAATTCATTAAAAATCACAGGAAAGTTACTGGTTTTGTACCTACTCAACACCAGAAACTGCAGAGGTTTGCAATGAATATAAACAAACAGGTATATTTACAGAGTTTATTAGAAACCATACATACATACATTAGGAAAGGATGTACTGTACCTACTCGTTGCAGCTCGCATGTCAAAGAACTGAGATCTCCTCAGGTTTAGCAGTCTTAGTGCAGAATGGATTACACGTAGTTTACTGACCAGAGTTCAAACCAAGTGGAAGTTTTGTATTGTGAACCAAGTACCTTATTATCAAGTTACTTTGTTATTTCTTTCTTTTAAAATTAATTAGCAGGAAAAAAAAAAAAATACCAACTCCGCCACATAAAAGCAGCCCCCGTGCGTACAACCTCTCCCACGTACCCGAGTTCATTCACCCCGCAGTATTCAGGCATCAGTGTAGCGCTCACAAACATCCCGTGAAGTCAGTGGTTCTGCTGAGACAGTCAACTGCACATAATCAGCTATTCATTTTTGCACCAAGCATAACTCAATTCATACTAAAGAAAAAAAAAAAAAAAGCACCTGTTATTCTCAGGAATATACAAATATTTACCACAGTTGTCCTTGCTCATTACAAAATCCATTACAAAAGCTTACAGCACATTATGTACAAATTCTATCCAAATACATAAAGGAGCCATCATCTGGCACACTGTCTAACAGCATCGGTCGTCACTTGAGGCTGCCGTCAGCTCGCTCCGCTCTCCTCCCGCATCAAACTCTGCAACGCTGCAGGTGTCTCACGCGCAGCATCGTAAATAGTCTTTGGGTTGGTACGTCAGCAGAAAGAAGTTAATTCTTCTTGTGAAGGAACTTCATTTTGTTTCCTAAAGAAAGCACACCATCAGTCTCTAGCATATACTGAAAAGCCAAGGGCAAGCAAAAGTTACGTAGCAAATAGGTCTAATTTGTAATGTAATTGCTGTAGAGTAACTCTTCTACTGAATATCAGCAGGGACAGCCAGCTAAGGAATCCCGGGTGGTCAGCCGCCTGCCTTTTCTCCTCCTCCATCGTGGTTTGGTTCCCCCGCCCCCAAGTGAAAATGAAAGTGTTAACAGGGGTCATAATTAAATCTGGTTTTGTCAGCTTCAAGTATGCTTTCATTGTTTTCCTTTTCCTATTTCCTATCACATCAAAACTGGTTGACTATCTGATTTCACCTCAGGTAAGGATTTTTTGAAATCTGTTCACTCACTGAAAGTTCACTTAGCAGAATGTGTACTTTGTGGTATAAAAGTATATTTTAAAAAATCTTGGAGTTACAAGAGTAACTCTGAACACGTTTGATGGAACACAGTGCATAATATATTGTCTGAATTGAAGATGACTGTAAGCAACTGGTTTCAGATACTGAAGGGATGGCTGAAGAAAAGGAAGTTTGACGTTTCTCCTCAGGAGCCCCCAAAAAGATGGTCTGCAACAGGAGGAAAGCTTCATTTTTCCGGTCATTTCTCTCTCCTTTCACCTCCTTTAAAGTTTCATTCAAAATAAAACTCAAAGTTAAAACAACCCCTCAGTGAGTTAAAAATTCTATGATTTCATCAGCCAAAATGGCAGAGCACTTTTATCCCAATGAGCAACCTGAGCTCATGATTTGAATCCTCTGAGGGCAACTAAACAGAACCTGTAACCATGTGGATACCTTACCTGAGTTGAAGCCTAATTTAATAGCCAGTGTAACCCTCTTTCCAGGGCTCAGTCTGAACTGTGAATCTGATTTTGAGGAATTGCAGTATTTTATAGTCAATCTAGTGGAAGTAATATTGTGAGAAAAAAAAAAAAAAAAAAAAAAAAAAAAAAAAAAAATTTCAGGGCGGGCTGCGAGGAACCCGCGCTGGAGTTAGCCTCCGGCAACCCGCGCTGAAATAATTAACCTGCGGCAACCCGCGCTGGAGTTAACCTTTTGTTCGGCTGGGCTTTGTCTTAGGAACGCTGTCACCTCTTCCCGCCGCCAGGCCGCCTCTGGGGCGGTTTCCCATCAGGGATGGGGCAGCGCCTTCGCAGGGTCCTTCCCAGTTTCACCTTTGAGCGATTTAAGGCGCTCAGGTGTGAATATCCTTCTGGTTAAAGCCTGTGTATTATCACCACCGTGGCTACGATCTGGGCCCACAAGAAGCGGACAACATGTTTCGGGAGATTCGTCAGCCACGCCGGGTTCGCTCATCTCTGACAGCAGGCAGAGACGCCAGGCGCGGCGGGACCTGCGCGAAACGCGTGTCTCCCGCGTTGCAGGAAAGAAAACCAGCCTCACCTTTTGCCCTGCATTTTCTCAGCTCTCTGTCCTGGATGAAGCCAGCAAACATTTGGGATTCCATGAAAACTTCCAAGAAGCGGCGGATACTCTTGGAGGCCACAGATTTACGGAAAGCCTCCCTTTGGAAGGCACGCTCTCCTTTTTCATTCTGGGTTAGGAACAGGGAATAATGGCCAACTGTCTCCACAAAGAATCGGATAAAAACCTCAGACACTAATCCATTCAGGGTGTTACATTCTGCAAAATAAGGCGGCAATAAGACACCAAAATCAGCTGCTACCAGAGCTGTCAGCATTGTCATCCACAGGGGGCCAGGCACTGTCATCTAGCGGTTTACTGATGCCGTGCTACTAACTGAGAGGAGTGGTACCGGCTCCTTGCTCCCTGGATATACGTCAGATAGGGAAAAGGGTAACAGCTTTAGAATCAAGAGTGCCAGTCTGCATAATTGGTGTTTCATAACCAAGAGTCAATGAGAAATACAAAACCTCAGGAAACAGCTCAGAAAATTAAAAATTTTGTGTGTGCTTCATCAAAATTGTACCTCATGTTTTAACTCGAGTAAGCTTTCTTAAGAAGCTTCTGAATGACTCAGAATTAAAATGTTTGCTCTGGGGATAATAAGCCTTTACCAAGAACTGATCAAAAAGGGTATGTTGTAGAATTTGGGTTTTCATCATTTCTGAGATGTTAAAATGGTTTTACATATGTAACACAGATGAATAGAAATAAATTTAAAAAACTGAATAGGGGCCTGTTTCATACCTTTTAACCACAGGCATTTAAATTCACCCTGGGCTGGTTTTATAATTGCTGGAGAGAAATATGAACCTTCAGAGGCAACTCAGCCCCTCTCACACTGAAACTATTTTCTGGAGGTACCTCCTTTTCTCTCCCCTGAATGTAGTGAGCGCCACGAGCAACTCCAAACTCAGACACACCCCTGAGCGTGTATAGTTATCTGGATTGAATTAGGGCCAAGTTAACTGCAAACCTCTGCTAGAGTAAAGGTTTAGAGGTACTCATGGGAGTGCATGTCATTTACAAAGAAATTAAATAGATTGCTGACACTGTACTACCGTGGGTCGATGCTATCAGTCCCATTCCCCGTGTATTCAGAGGCTGTCTTTGATGTCACAAAAGGTATTTGAGTGCTAAAGTCCCATCTTTCTTTCTCCTGGATGGAAAGTCACAGTACTACCTACGTGCTTGTTTATACAAGTCCCTGTTTCCAAATGAACTTACCATCATCTGAATCACTATCTGAATCCTGATTTATCAGTTCGTTCTTTCTCTCCAGAGCCTGCTCCAGAGCAGCTTGCAATTTTCTAGGTAATAGTGTGTCTTCATCATCCATCTGACAGAGGAAAAAAAAAGATCATTAGATCACATTAATCTATGCCGCAACTACAGCAAATACTTTTGCAAGGTTTAAAATTCAGAAGAAAAGCATTTTGTATCTGCTACTGTCACGCCTACATAAACAAAATGATGAAAAACTATGTGCAACTATCATATTTTAAACAAAATTTCTTGTCACTCTTAATGAGATTAAAGTCAAGACCGATAATCCAAAAAGCAAGGTAAACATATAGAAGCTTGGAATCAGCTCTTAACATGACAAAGAGTCCAAATAGTTGTTTTTAACTAAATACACATTATGCAAAGCGTAGCTACGTGTACACACAGCTGCTCTAGTTGGTTTTAGGCAGCTTCTTTGGTTCTTGACAGTTGTTTTTACTTATATTCTAGTATATCTTGTTTTCTGGGTTTTCCCCCTGTTGTTCGCTTCATCTTATTTAATGCTTGTTCAGCAAAAGCGAGTAGACACAAGAATCTTAGCTCTGCAACTACTATTCACCAGCCGTATCTTCCAGGGAATCGTGCAAGAAAGTTTACTCATCTAACCTGCAGATTGTTATTTTTGAAATTATTTAGTGCCACATTACTATCGGGAGATGGTGACCCTTCAGTCTCCCTGTTTACAAGGCTCCTGCTTCTCCTACCACATTAAACTGTTTTTCACATTTCCTCTCTCACTCAGAAACTTTTGTTTGCAATTTTTGTCCTTTTCACCTCCAACAGTGCGAGTTTTCTTGCTAACATGATGTCTTTATCTTTGGATGTTTTCTTTGCACTGTGAATACAGTTCTTGATTTCTTTTGACAGTCACAGCCTCAATCCCTTTTGCATACCTGCAGAGTAGTACTCACTTGCAGGTGAAACAGAAAATAAGCACTTTTTTTTTTCTAATCTCTGTCCCACTGCACAATTCCTGCCAAATATCTCTAATCAAAGAAACCTAATCACCCTATAGGAGTAAACAGCTTGCTAGACTGCATGGAACATTTCGAGCTGTACTTTACCTGTCTGATGAATCGATCAGATCCCAGGTTAACCATCAAAGCCTAAAGAAAAGAAAACACTGTAGTGAAATATATCTGAAGAGACGGAAAACATTCATTTGTGTCTGCCTTTTAATAGCGAAAGATCATCTGAATGGTCCCAAGCCTCAACATGAATCAAATTCCTGCTCTGAAACAATAGGTTGTGTGCTTTATGAAACAAGAAGATGAAGTTTTTCTTTACAGGTTAAAGTCTAATTTAACATAGTTAGATACAACAGATCTCGTACTAGGTTAATATGTAAAAAAAGCTAAAAGGGTTAGGCAGGTCTTTTTCCTTAAACCTAAGCAAGTTATTGCTAATCATTTTTGTTAACGTGCAGATGAAAAGTATTTCAGAGGGGTTTAAAGAAAACAGTGTCATTTGAGGCAGCAGGGCTTCTGAAGGGCAAGAGTGTGAAATATTAATGATAATGAAGCAGCAAAGCTGAGAGGTGGAGCTGGGAAGATGTGGGAAAGCAATGTTGGGAAAATGGGAGGAAAACAGAGCAGAGATTTACATGGGCAAGAGGCACAGAAAGTCTTGAAAGTGAGCACAAGAAAAGAAAATTTTATAGAAAACTGACAGGAAACTAATAGGAGTAAGAGAGAAGAGCGTACCCTTGAGTATTTTTGTGGTATTTTGCTGAAAGAGCTGATGAAGTGCAACTCTCATTTGATTTCCAATAGAGTATTAACAAAGTCTTAGAAGTAAAAAAAAAAAAAGCCTTAACGGTTTTGTTTTCTGGGCTGGCTATGGCTTCATGCACAACTTCCATTAGCATGAATAGATATCATAGCAGATAGCACTTCATGTCTTCCTCTTCTTGTTCCAAGTACAACAAAATCAGAACAAATAAGCATATTTACACTGTACTTACTTGTTGACCAGGTTAACATTCACTTCTCTGTGTCAAGGTGCCAGGTATGGGAAGAGGGGCGGAATAAAGAGAAGACTAAACCTACTACTGCAGTTTTACCAAGAGGCAGTAGACCATGAGAATTAGGCAGAGAAGAAACAAAGAGGCAGATTAAAAATTAAACGTGAGGATTTATGTGCAAATGGCAGGGTGAGACCAGCTTTGCTCCAGGCAAACAATTCTGGTGCCAGCTCCTACCTCCTCTACGGGCAGCTCCTTCAGTTTGGGCAGAGAGCTGGAGAGCAGTCCCACCAGGAAGGGGGTAGGGCAGCACACGATGTCGATCATGGATGAGGGCAGAACAGGAATGAAGGTGTGCTGCCAGGAGAAGGGGTACAGCAGGGCCACCACGGCGTGCGAGCAGCTCGAAAGGGTGCTGGAGAGAGAGGAAGAACCATGTTAGCAGAGCTTGTTCTTCATCCACAATACCTACCACCTGCTGATAAACTCATCGTGTTAAAATGCAAGTGCCCAAGGGGCTGCCTTTTAACATATCACTTCTGACTCCAGACTGCCTTTGTCCCGTTGCAGTCCATTCACTTCTGTACTGTGGTGTGGTAGCTCCTCTCGTGCCCACCTCTATGTGACTTGAAACTAAAGATAAAAAACTAGAATCAATTTGTTTTCTTATAGCAGTCAGAAGACGCTTTGATCTAGAAGATGAGGTTTAATGTTCCCAACAGCACTCAATAGCAGCCGCTTTGAATGATGCTTAAAATCCAAAAGCAACTTCAGTTCCTAGCTGTTACAACCAGGTCAGTAGTAACAACACATAATACTGATGTTCTTATGTTGAGTGCTAAGGCACAAACAAGGGAAAATGAAAAATAAATATAAAATAAAATTGGAAAAAAAAATTTCTAAAGAAAAACCCTACTAAATCAGATGTAAAAAAACCCCAAAACCCAATACTTGCTCCAAAGGAAATCTAGTAAAAGCAACACATTTTTCAAAGTTTGTATATTTTTGTGACAGCAGCATATTTTTATTGCAATACATTTTGCTGGGCTTATTGACCAACTGTAACAATAAAGGCATTAACCTTGCTCAGTAGAGTACTGTAAAATACACATTGGTACCCCCTAAATACTAAGGCTTAATATAATTTGTGGAAAATGTCTTGCATACATTGTCCTTCCATCTGCTGAAGCTGATTCCCTTTTACAGTCACATGGGTTCCAAATGTTAAAAATAAAGGAACATCATTACCAAGCTAGTTTTAGCATCGGGGGAATAAAGACAGGCTCTCTGTTTCAGAGCTTTGATTTTGGAGTGGGTTACAACATCTGTTTCTCGCAGACTGAGGATGACGGAAATTTGGATTTTCACCCAGCCTAGCATGACTGAGCTAATTTTCTCACAGTGCAAACTTCTGCTGGGCTTAATGTAGCCAGAAAGAACTATAAATAACTAATAACTTCAGAGCTGTTACTGCTTGAGAATGCTGGGGGGAAACGCCGATTTCTTCTGCTGCAAGACTTGTTGGAGACTTTAGGTGGCATCAGACCTCCACTGGAATAACCCTCGCGAGCATTTTTAGTTGTGGGTTATTCCAAGGCCAGGAGAAAGGTTTCACCTGTTTGTTCCTGTCAGTGATTAACCTTTGAAGTTTGCTGAATGGGAAGAAGAGAAAAGGTTGGGCAAGAGCAAATGCTTGTCTTTTACTGCAAATAATCTGTTGGGTTTTTTTACTTGACATTTCTTTTAACATCTATCAATAGCATATTTTATAACATAGTTGTCTGACAGAGGTTTGTTGTAAAACGATGCGTTTCTCTAATTTTTTTTTTTTTTATAGCAGGCAACGGTGCTGCCATTGACTCATATTTTGGTCTCGAGTGTCTACCATAGCAAGCATAGTGGTGTGTTTCAGGAGAGCTGTGGAGCATGGTACAGACTCCCAGCACTTTCTCAAGCTCACTTTAATGACTCTGTGGCATTTTCAGCTACTACAAATTCAGTCATCTTAGCTGAGCAACTAAAAAAAGAGCCACATTAAGCTAAAAGCAGGAAGACAAACATTCTTCTCATATTCAGTTAGTATTTTTTTCCTTTCTATAGAATGCCCTTTTGTAACTTGTTGTTTTACACGCAGTGCTGTGACGTAAATCAGCCCCTGCATCCTCTCGTGCCTGCTATTCCCACGCTAGGGGAGGCTTCGGGCTCCAGCCCAAGAGACTGGTTTCTCTTCCAGAGCTTTCCCGGGAGCTGGCTGGGGCAAGGCAGCAGCTGAACGCAGCAAGCGGCCGCGGGGGGGGTGTCCTGCGGCAGCACCCTGCTCTGCTCTGCCAGTGTCCCGCGGGTCACGCCATCCCCCTTGTCAGCACCTCAGCCTGTGCATCTTAAGGCTCTGTACACAGGTTTTCAAAATTCAGCCTCAGAAAATCTCCCTGTGAGCTGTCTCAGGCTGACCCCCATGAAACACTCGCTCCGAACTTTCAATCCCCAGAATCGCCCCGCTGCCCTCCCTCCCGGACACTGCTCGTGCAGAGGGCAGCGGGAGTCCTACACGCTGTTACCAAACTCTTGCTTGTACAAAGTGCCTGTGTCTCTTCTGTAGCTGGAAAGATTCATAATTAGAAAGGATACACATCTTTCACTTCAGTGTGAGGTTTTTACATTCTATAAGGACAAATTCAGCGATGATGGATGTCAGGGAACCCCCAGATTAAATCTCGAAGATATGGTTCAGATCCTTTTAAAAAGGTATTATTCATGAGAAACGTGTTTGGTAAATTAAAAAGAAAGCCCTACCCTGGGAAACCAAGTCCACTCCAGTTTTTCATTTCAAGATACGCAACCCACACATTGTCCCACTGTTCTTGTTTATGAGAAATAAGAAGTAAGGTCAGATGATTTATTTTCTTTAAGGTGTGTGAAGCACACAAAGTAAAGCAACAGAATAGTCAACTGGATTTTCAAAACGTTTTCACTTTTCATAGTCCAGGGCAGTTTTGATAATAGAGTCGGTTTTGAAAGTGGGCTTTTCATTTGGCCTGTGCAGTTTTACAGGAATGCTGCATAATGTTCTAGCTGTTGCCCTATTGGAAAACACTTCTTATATTACCCATATGCAGGTAATTTTATACACAGGCACAAGAAGCCAAACTGTTGCATGAGTCACACGCTAACGAGGAACATAAAACATCACATACTGCAGAGGGTAAGCGCTGCCGGAGTCCTGCGCAAGCGGGAGACGCGCTATGATGATCCCAGGGCTCCAGCCACCCCCGTACGGCACAGGGCCAGCTGTGCCCGGGGTCCCAGAGCTGCGCTGGCGTGCGGCTCCCTCCCTCCCTGCCTCCGATACACAGGTAGTGCCGCTGCCCCGTGCCCGCAGCACTAACGCCAAGCTCTCATCCCGCCCCGGAGATGTGGGCTACGCTGCCGGCCTGTGATGCTCTGTCTCTGCGGAGCTGCTGACGGGAAGAGACAGCCTCCTGCTTAAACCCAGCACGTCTCTCTGCTCTGTCAGCAACAGGCTGCCCCCCACACACATTTAACTGTACACGCGGAATAAGTCTACTAGCAGTAATTGACTGTGAAAAGGTGACTGTGTTGCAAGTTTTGTGGGATAAGAGAATTTTCTGATATACAGATATGTAAGGCTATTATCTAGCCATACTACACAGCCTACGCCACTGAACTCATCCCATTACCCTGTACTCATCCCAATAATTTGCACTCCATTAAAGCAAAATTAGTGAACAATTTCTAGAAAAACACCCAGTTTCAATTGATTTCAAAACACAGGCAATCCACCACTTCTCCTTCCATTTTTTTCCCATGGTTATCATCTTGTTAAAAATTATTTGGAATTTGCCTAGGTTTTTGTTCTTCCTGTGACTTTTATCCACTAGATAAAAAAAAAAAACCTTCAGTGTTTGACCTTCTCCCCATGGAAGTATTAATATGAATTTATATAGTCTTATTAAGACATTCTTAATCACAAATTTCTTATATTTTCACTCTAAGTATCAATAATTACAGGAAATTAGAGACATTTTTCCTTTACATTAACAAATATACAACTTGATAAGTCTTTTCAAATATGGAAAGGCTATGTTATTAAAACATCTCTTGAAGAAGACATCTGTTATGATGTTACAGAAAAAAGATGACAATGCATCTTTCCCATTCAAATTTGATTTCTCTTCCTCTAGGCTACTTTGTTTTCCAAATAATTTTCTCATGATGGAACATAGAAACTTCTCCTTGTTGTGTACTTGGCTGTGGAGATGCAAGGCTCAAACTAAGAGCCGAGGCACAGGAATTTCAGACATTACCATGACTCAGCCAGATTGTGGGGACTGCTTGTGAACAGAGCTTAGACCCATGTCAAAAGCCAATTAACGTGACCTAACTTTGACTCAACAAGAACATTTACTGTCCTTTAGATAGCAGGATGTCTGCTATCAATTTCTGGGTTGGTCAACCAACAAAAAACCCCAAGTCTAGGCTATATTAATATCTAATCATAGCACAATTACCATATTCTGAGAAACACACATTGTCCGCTGTTGAACAGTGAACGGACACTGCCCTGGCTGCCGGGAGCACTGCCGATGAGGACGCTAGTGCTGGATGTGTCCGTTTCAGAGAACCATGGCTCATTGCATACTGCAAGTCACCAACTCTCATGAAATGTTAAAGTCATATTCAGTTACACATACTACTCACATCGGAAATATTCTGCAGATACACTTGATGATTTTCTTTTCTCAGGGAAGTTACATTCCTTCTCACTTCCCACTCTACCACCTACAATTTCTCACAGATCCGACGGAGCCTCACACCCTGAGCATCTCCTAAGTCCAGGACTAAGCCTCTAGCACAGACAAACATTTGCTGGCAGGGCTCCCTGATCCTACCTTGCTACTCTTGTGCATCTCCACAGTCATTTTGGCATTTACATTGAAGGAGGGGAAGGTAAGAATATCCCTTCCCCTTCCTCCTCCTCCTCCTCTCCCAAGGGAGAGACAAGTTTACTCAGCCAGGAGGGGAGGGATGACCACCCCTTATTGAGCAGGGCCAAGCCACACCATGGCTCCATCACCCCAGGGCTGGTGCCAGCTCTGTGCTATGCCGATGCTCTGGACCATGCACAGGACGGGGACCAATTGTCAGAATCTGGTCCCTCCGCTTCCTCGGATGAAGAAATGTAGCCAAAAATGTAAATTCACGAAGAAGTGTTTCCACTGCTGGTGTTTACTTTTCCACAACCTTTTCATGTTTCTCATTTCTCCCTGCTGATTTAATTATGTTACTCTGTCCACATTTGCTGAACTCTTTCATCTGCTATGCTAACGCACACATGCTCCAGCCCACAACTGCTCTGTGACCGAGTTACCTCCCTGACCCACATCCTCTCGCCTA